GCTCCCAAAAAGAAAATCGGACCTATAGGAGCCCTGCATTTCCAAGTATTACCTGAAAAAAAAAAATTGCCTTTTGAGAAAAATCTGTGTCTGAGGTGTAACCGTTCCCTCCTTTGAAAAATTCTAAACGTTCCAGAATGTGTACCAGGGACATGCATGAGGTTTGGGTGACTTTTCTATCATTGGAAACTACACGCTTAGTTTCAATTTCTATTTTCACAATAATGTGCTATGCAATATTGGGGTAAGTAATTTGGCCATACGTGTGAAAAAATCGCCGGATGAACGACAACTCAAGGTAAGTTTAACTCTCCCAGAGAAGAACGGTAGATATCTGAGACCTCCTGGGTCCAAATCATGACAATCAATGACAATCTTTGAGATGCACGTCTCACAGCAACCTGGTTGTCATAGTCTTGGCTGAAGATTTAGTCTGAGTAAATACTTATGAATTGGCTCTCTGAATTCTCCAGTCTCACTGAATTCTGCAACCTCCGGAGAGCATTTTAAATGCTAACAGAACATTTTAAATACCGCTGATACCCCTGCATCACAAGCATCCACTGCAAGAGAATTACGAGGCAATTTCAGTGCCACGTGGTAAATACTTAGGCAGTTAACAGCAGAAATAGTTTCAGAAATTGTTTCTTCATGTAAAGGACGGTGGAAGACAATGCAGTTGGATAACAATTACGTAGAATTAGTCCTGTGGACACTTACCTGCCCCATCCTAGAGCACTTCTGGAAATACTTCATATGTTTAAGAAGGATAATCTCAGCATCCTGAGATTTAAAAAAAAAAAAAAAAAAAAAAAGCCTTGATTCTTCCTACGAGAATTTTCTTTCCATTGGATACTTAAAATATTCCTTAGTCTGACAATCCAATAAGGCAGGCCAGAAAAGAGAACGGCACACAACAGCACTTTGTTTCCAATGAAACTAGGTTCCAGGAAGCTCAAAACAAGACAGTAAATAGAGACAGCTGTCACCCTTGGCATTCTTCCTTTTGGATTCTGGATAAAAGGTAGAGAAAAACAGCACCTTTCTGAATGTTTTTGTTATTTTATGGCTCTAATTTCCATCGTGTTTTTTTCTTGAAACATGGCTAATTGTTCATTAACGGTTAACAGGTATTGATGGCTTAGCTATTTTTATCTTTTTATCTGTTTCACAAAGGTCTATTTAGAAGCTAGTAGTGTATTTTCTCTTTATTGTTAAGCACAGAAAAGGAATGCATTTTTTTCTGTTCATGCCTAATTTTCTTTGATCTTTCTCAAAGGTAAATTATCCCTAAAACTTTGAGTAGACTGTCCTAGCAGATATTCTACGGCTTGACAAGGAAACTTATCCTGCTTCTATCCATAAAATGATAATCTTCATAACTTCTCAAAAAAGATCAAGCTATTTATTTTAAAGTCATCTTTTGCTTTTCTTGATATTTCGTAAATGATGGTTGACAAGTTGTGATAGTCTACTTTTCAGCAAGACTGGTCTCCATCTACTTAAGTAACTATTTACTTGATCACTATTTTTAATAGATGGTTTTTACTTTTTATTTGAAATAGGCATTTGATGATTTTGGTGATATTGATGACCACAAAATCAAATGCAGATGTAAAACTACAAGAAAAAAAATTGTAGAAATAAATGTCTTTTTCATTATTTAAGACATAAATCAACTGAGTTGCTGTGTAGCTTATTTATGTCAATGTTAGATTTGTGTTTGTTAATTTTTACAAAGTTTTCTTATTAAACATCAAAAATGATTAATTCTTTGGCAGTTAATATCGCAGCATCTCCCATATGTTAAATGCCATGTAAAAAGGACTGACAATATAATCTTACCTTTTTTTCTTCATGTCAATGTTTAATACTCTCCAGTGTGGTTTGGAAAAATTAAAGAAGATACAACAGAATATGCCTCAAATAAGACCTATTTGTTGATGTTTAATATATTTATGATAGTTGCTGAGAAAGTGAAAACACGTTATTCAATACACTGGATAATAAATTACGTAAATATGAAAAGTTTGGTATTTCCATTTGCCTTTATCAAATACTTTTTTTCTTTCTGGAGAGTTTAATACACTAAGGGAGGTCCTATAATGGCACCACAGGCACAAGCTCAAATGGTGGTTAAAGCAGATTGCAAATACAGTGCTGTATGTTTCATATTATATTGCCCTATGAAAGTTGTATTGGATGCCTAAGATTCTGGTGGCATAAGTAATAGAAACATTAGAGTGATCAGAGTTTGTGCAGGACCGTATTTGCTGGAAGGTGTTAGAAGAAGGAATAATGTAATACTTAAAGCCCAGTCTAAAGCAAAGGGTGATTCTGTTTTACTAAGCATGTACCATTCAGGATACTGACCTGCAGAATTCTGTTCTAAAGGCTCTGGATAGTTCTTCCTTCATTGCTAATTTTTCAGAGATTTTGGGCCTTAGAATGGGGAACTTGAGAGGTAGGGGAGTGAGAGGGTAATTAATGTTTCTATAGATTAAAAAAAAAATCCCAGCATTTTCAAATCAAAAGACTCGGGAGTTGGTACTAAATAGAAATTGGATCCATCTGTGAGTCTCAAGGCACCTTGGAAAAATGTAACTCATTTAAATTATTCATTTGCCTTGAGAAATGAGTTATATTTTCCCAAGGTGTTTTGGACTCACAGATGTAAATAGCCGTTCACTAGTTGTGTACTACTGGATCTAGGAATGCTGCAAAAAATCAAGGAGAGCATCTTGTAGAGACCATATAGATGGCAGAACATGTAGACAGAGCAGTATTCATAAGCATATTTTGGATCCCAATTCCCACGTCTTCTCTTCTGTTTGCTAGGAAAATGGTGGCAGGAAATATCCTGAGAGGATGGGAAATTTTGTCAATGGAAAGAAATAGGTTGAGGTTAATTTAACCATCATGATATTGGAAGATGGGTCACCATGCAGATCCAAATCTGCATTGGTCTTCACCAGAGTTGTTGGTTGTCAGTGACTTTACTCAGCTGTAATATACAGTTTAGTTCAGTACAGTAATCCCAGAAAAAAAGTTTTTCCTCCCTGGCTATGACTTTTCTACAAGGAATTTGGGTATAAGATATAATAGAAAACTATCTTTAAGGTTTTGCCAGACTACTGAAGACTTAATGAAAACTTTAATAAAACATATACATTGCTATAAAAGTACCAAAAGCAAACCCAGCACTCAAACCCATGAATTCCAAGGCTATACTAATCTACAGTGTGGATTCTGAGATCGCCAATCCCATTGTTGGTGTAAAAGACAGTACACTCCTAATTATCACGTCATCATTTATAAACTGCATCCCAAGGAGCCATATCTGCTTTTAGACCATATCCGCTGTTTCCTGTGTTTCAGATCCAGACTACAGAAAAAAAAAATAGATACTTTGGCTTCATAGTACTACCCTCCCTTCACCCTAAAACCTTCAATAGAGGTAGATAAAGACAAGTACAATTCTGTGATCACTGCCAGAGATCTGGAGACCCTAAGCTGAAAAGGAAACATAACATAACCAGGTCTTCATTTTCACCAAACTGCCTCTACACTTATCAAGCATGAAAACACATCCCTAGAGAGTACATTTTAGCAACACAATGCCATAGGCAGAGACTTAGAAAAACACCCAAATAACCTATTTGCTTCTGGTGTCTCAGTATATGCAGTACTCCATGAAAATGGACACAAAGTATCTGTTTGCTTTGAACTGTAAAGCCTTTAAAAGTCAAGTTCTATATGAGGGAAACAGATACTACTACACTGAGCCAGGCAGCATGGTGTTGGTGTTGGTGGCAATGTTTGATGGCAATGGCAATTCTCCTTTGTGTTGTATTTAACACAGAATGGATTATGTGATGTTCAAGGTGGTGGCAGTAGAAGGAGACTAGGTCTGGAAGGTCTTAATGTCCTATCAGTTACTCAAAGACTTGAGTCTCCATCTATATAGCATGTTAGTCCAAGACTGGGAAGTGTGCATCACCAGGTTTGTGAGTGATACTAATCTAGCCAATCATAAACTTCAGGTTATGGTCAAGGACACTGAGAGGCCACCTATGTACTCCAGATTCAGACAACAACTGCTGCTGGTCAGCTGTTTCTACTGGCTACATCTTGACAGACCCCAAGAATATTGGGAATATGAAAATATATATTAATTATAATTTCCAAGCATTATTTCTTTATATTTCTTTAGCATATCTAAATTGATTATTTATGCTTTGTATTTCGTAGTCAGAGTTTCAGGTTTCTTCCCCTCACCTCGTATTCTATGCTGCCCTACATCTTTTGATTTCTTCATTAGTTGCTAATTTCTGATATTGTATTTAGCTATATTTTCTTTTAAAGTAAAATTTCAATAGTGATCTTGGTGAAAATTCAATCATCTACCAGATTACCTAAACCTGATTTAAGTTTTAGCCTATTTTAATCATAAAAAGATGTCTGAGATTTTTGGAAGACGTTATACCTCTGTCTCATCTCTATTTCTGTTTATATCTGTTTATCTAGTTCTATCTGCAGTCCTGGTCATTATTTTTATTTTCAAGGGGACAGATTGTCCTAACAGACTATGATGATTCTCCTTAAACAAAAATGGGCAAGATTCTTATGCAGGTATCACTTTAAAAATCTTTACTTGATTATTTGTACTGTGGGAAGAGAATAAACAACACCATTTCTCCTTTTTTAATGACATTTATTTCATGTTTAGTTTTCTTGTTTGTTTGTTGTTTTGTTTGAGACAGGGTGTCACTCTGTCACCTAGGAGTGCAGCGGAATGATCTTGGATCTTGGCTCACTTCAACCTGTACCTCCAGGGCTCAAGTGATGCTCCTACCTCTGTCTCCTGAGTAGCTGGGATTGTGGGTGTGAGCCACCACACCTGGCTGATTTTTTTTTGGTGTGTGGTAGACACGGAGTTTTGCCACATTGCCCAGGCTGGTCTCCAACTCCTGGCTCAAGCTATCCACGCATCTCAGACTCCCAAAGTGCTGGGATTACAGGTGTGAGCCACCACGTCTAGCCAACCTTTATTTTGAAATCCTGTTTGCTTGAGCTTTATGAAATGTATGTCTTGATAGATGATGGGAAAACTTATTTGTATCCTCAATAAGGCAAAAGTGAATTAGTTGAGCATGCCCCCAATTTTCACCCTCGATTAGAGTAATAAACTATGACAGAGCACTCCCTTCTCATCCTAGAGTATTTCTCTCAGATTTTCTTCGGGGTATTAGTAGTAGATCACTGAAAATCCTTCTGTCTTCTGCCATCTTATAGCTAAGTAAAGCCAGCTTGTGGGCAGAAGGTCATTGAAGGGCTGAAGATCCCTCTCTTCTGAATTGTGAGGGGTAAAACCTTCTGAATTGTAAGGACACATATGACAACATGGGAGGTTTTAAATTTTTTTACACAATAAAACCTAATGTGTTTTGATTATTGTATCCTCTGAAATATCTTAGATATTAAGTTTTCTATTCTCCAGCATGTGAGGGGAGCAAGATTATGTTATTTTCTTCATAATACCTATTTTCCTCTCCTTTATGTTATCCCAAATTAACTATAACTGCTTTAGTTCAGAAAACCTGTCCGAAGGAAATAACCATATATCTAGCTAAATGTAAAATTTCAAGTAATCTACCAGTTATAATCTGCGTGTATCATAAAACTGATTTTCACTACATCTATTTCTGACCCTAATTAGGTTTTGCAGCTTATATAAAAAGCTGTTTTTAAAGACTTGGGCCTTGGGAATTATTCACCTTGATGAATAATGCTCAATGTCAATGAATTAAAATATTTTGAGTTATTATAACATTCATATAAAAGTAATAATCATGAAAAGCAAAAAATAATATCAACAGGTAGAGATAGGCATTTAGTTTCTAAATGTTAAGAAAGAGAACCTGTGATTATCCTTTTTTTTAGCCAGTTACAGAGGATAAATGATAGCTTTTTAAAATATTATACTATTGTTACATTTAATAAGTCATCCAGTACAGTTTTCTGAAAACACAGGGGATAGAAGAACAGGTTAAATGATACCATGAGGAAACAATCAAACAAATTCAGAATGTAGGACATCCTACAAAACAACTAGTCTGGACACTTCAGAAATTCAATGTCATTAAAGATGGGGGACTATTCTAGAGTAAATAGATCTAACACCCAAATACAATGATCAAAGTTGGTTGAAAAACAAAGTTTCTAAGACATTCCTTATAACAAATGGTTAAAGTAAAGGTATTTTTCAAAGGAACTGGAGTGAATGAGAATTCTTATCAAAATTGAGGAAAAGATAATAGACAATTAGTGAAATTTGATAGGGACTGGATTTTAGATAACACTGTATAATTATTGTTAATTTTCTTAGGTATGATAGTAGCATTATGATTGTATGAGATAATATTATAATTATGTGATACCTGCTGAAATATTTAGAGGTGAAATATATCTGCAAGTTACTTTCATATGAGTTAGCAGAAAAGGGGATGTGTGTGTATAAAATAAGAAAGAAAAAATATGGTAAAATATAAACAGTTGTTAAGTTTGGATGGAGGTTAGAGTTGTAGTTTATGTATAGTTCTTTTAACTTTTCTATATATTTAAATTTTTTCATTATCCCAATATTTTTTAACCCAATGGTTCTTTTAGAGACACATCCAAATATTTAAAATTATTTTTTAAGGCAGCCTTAGGTTTTGTAGAAAATTGAGCAAATAGTACAGACATTCCCCTCACATAGCCATTTTCTCCTCCTCAAAGTTTCCTTGTTATCGAAATCTTTCATTACTGTGGTACATTTTTTATAATTTATGAACCATTACTGGTGAATTATTAACTAAATTTCATAGTTTAGTGTTCACTCTTTGTGTTGTATAGTTCTGTGGATTTTGACAACTGCATAATATCCTGTATTTACCATTGTAGTATAGTAAAGTCCCCTGTGTTTAACCTCTTTATTCCCCTTCCTCTTCTTCATAGCCACCACTGATCTTTTAAATGGCTCTATAATTTGGCCTTTTTCAGAGTACCATGTAATTGGAATTATACAACATCGTTGCCTTTTTAGACTAGATTCTTTCACTGAGAAATATGCATTTAAGTTTCCTTCATGTCATTCTGTGGCTTGATAACTTATTTCTTTATGTTAACATTTTTAAAAAACCCAAAAAGAAAATTTAAAAGGCCAACAACAAACTACAACATGCATACCTTGTTTAGAATCAGATTGAAAAACCCATCACTAAAAATACATTTTTAAAGATAATTTGGGAAACTAGAATATTTGCTGGCTATTTAACATTATGAAATTGCTCTTAATTTTGCTAGATGTGGCAATTGAATTGAGGTTACGTTGAAAATTCTCCTAGGCATTAGAAAGGAAAATAATATTGATACATTTACAAGAAGAAAATATCTGGCTGCTCTTGGAGAGTTTCATGAGGTTCAGACACATCAAATTTCAGGGAAATGTGAAGTGGAAGCAGTGCAAAGAAAGAAATATGAGTAAGGAAACTATTTCAGTGTCCATTAGAACACTCTTATTCGGATTCTGTGCTTTTCCTGGGTCTTTGTGTTTTTCAGCTGGGTTTGAGTGAGTGTGACGATGGTAACCTAACCACCACTGAGTTGCACACATGCCCAAACACTGAACAAAAACAGAACTTTCTTAGTCAAAGCCTTCTTTCTGAAGCATCTTAGGACTAAGATCACTCCCTTCCAGGTTCTGAAATTTATTTTCTCCAATTTGAAAAAAAAAATGGCTTGGATCTGTGTAAAGATTTATTTATTCTTGCCCTGTCTATGGGTGGAGTGAAGAGCCTTTCGAAACGCCAATAAGACTTCGGTACATTGAGAGACGCTACTTGAAAATACTCAATTTCGATTGCCGTCAGCCTGCAAGAAAGCATTGGGATTTTCTTAGTTTATGAGAAAATAAATACTCAGAAGAGACGCAGGGTGGCGCTGCAGCCTTAGAAGTAGAAGCAGCAAAGCGCCCAGCTGACGCTCGTTTACCCAGATACTCAGCTAAAGAAGCAGCGAGCAGGAAGAGGAGGCTTTCTAAGGCGGTCGCTCCGGGAAATTTGGGCCCTAGGATTGTCCATTCAGCCCAGTATCAGCGAGATACGGGGAGATAGAGTCAGCGACAACGTGAGCCCGAGCTGGAGCAGGTTTGGTGCGAGACCAGAAGGCAATGGAGGCCGGAGAGGGGAAGGAGCGCGTTCCGAAACAAAGGCAAGTCCTCATATTCTTTGTTTTGCTGGGCATAGCTCAGACTAGTTCCCAGCCTACGTACTATTCAGTGGCTGAGGAAACGGAGAGTGGCTCGTTTGTGACCAATTTGTTAAAAGACCTGGGGCTGGAGGTAAGAGAACTTGCTGTGAGGGGGGCCAGGGTCGTTTCCAAAGGAAAAAAAATGCATTTGCAGTTAGATAGGCAGACCGGGGATTTATTGTTAAATGAGAAATTGGACCGGGAGGAGCTGTGCGGCCCCACAGAGCCGTGTGTCCTACCTTTCCAGGTGTTACTAGAAAATCCCTTGCAGTTTTTTCAGGCGGAGCTACGAATTAGGGACATAAATGATCATCCCCCAGTTTTCCTAGACAAAGAAATACTTTTGAAAATTTCGGAGAGTATCACCCCTGGAACTACTTTTCTGTTAGAACGTGCCCAGGACTTGGATGTAGGAACCAACAGTCTCCAAAATTACACAATCAGTCCCAATTTCCACTTCCACCTTAATTTACAAGACAATCCCGATGGCATAATATTACCACAGCTGGTGCTGGACAGAGCCCTGGATCGCGAGGAGCAGCCTGAGATCAGGTTAACCCTCACAGCGCTGGATGGCGGGACTCCACCCAAGTCCGGCACGGCCCTGGTACGCATTGAAGTTGTGGACATCAATGACAACGTCCCAGAGTTTGCAAAGCTGCTCTATGAGGCACAGGTCCCGGAGGACAGCCCCGTTGGATCCCTGGTTGCCATCGTCTCTGCCAGGGATTTAGACATTGGAACTAACGGAGAAATATCTTATGCATTTTCCCAAGCCTCTGAAGACATTCGCAAAACGTTTCGATTAAGTGCAAAATCGGGAGAACTCCTTTTAAGACAGAAACTGGATTTCGAATCCATCCAGACGTACACAGTAAATATTCAGGCGACAGATGGTGGGGGCCTATCTGGAACTTGTGTGGTATTTGTCCAAGTGATGGATTTGAATGACAATCCTCCGGAACTGACCATGTCCACACTTACCAATCAGATCCCAGAAAACTTGCAGGACACCATCATTGCTGTATTCAGCGTTTCAGATCCTGATTCCGGAGATAACGGAAGAATGGTGTGCTCCATCCAGGATGACCTTCCTTTCTTCTTGAAACCTTCTGTGGAGAACTTTTACAGTCTGGCGTTAAGCACAGCCCTGGACCGGGAGACCAGATCCGAATATAACGTCACCATCACTGTCACAGACTTGGGGACACCCAGGCTGAAAACCGAGTACAACATAACCATTCTGGTCTCCGACGTCAATGACAACGCCCCCGCCTTCACTCAAACCTCCTACACCCTCTTCGTCCGCGAGAACAACAGCCCCGCCCT